AACGCATATCCTCTGCGTCAGACGGTGCAGTTTTCCTCTCTCCAAAATTGTCTCAGCATGGCCCATTAAAAATAGCCTATCGGTGTCACCAGAGTCAGAGCGCGCTTTTCTGTAGCATTGAGGGGGGAGAATTTAAAAAAAACTTGGTCATTAAACCTTTGCAATCATTGTGGCTTCACGTGTTTATGTTTTATCATTTTCGATGTGCTTTATCACGTGCATCTGCTCTTCCACCACAATGCAATTCCTTTCCCCTATTTCTTCTCGCAAGAAATAAATGAGTAACTCCTCATTCAATGCCTTCAACGATAATATCACCTTTGCCCTGTACAGGGGTAGTGGAGAATTTGGCATGATCAAGTGAAGTCCATTTCCTTCTATCATAGTTCAGACATAAAGTTAGATCACTCTTTGCATTACCAAACAAACAAATTAAGAAAATTAATTCTTTCGCAATAAAATTATGACCTAATGGCGCCTTATTTTACTAGTCGTTCACTTGCAGTCCCCGCTAAAAGTCTAACGTGTTCGCTCCCAACCGCATGCATCGCACCACCACTCTGAACCCCTCAGGCGGCAAGGTTTACCTACTCTCTGCTTTGCATTCTTTTAGACTAAAGTCGCGATCAGTCAGCAAAGATGTGATACAGGTTTGCGTGCTCGTTTGAACGTTTTTGTTCTGTTGGTTCCATTTGTCGGTAAAAGTTAGATCACACAGCTCGAAGACAAGCGAGGAATTGAGTCATTTCCTCAGTTAAGACTGAACGCCCAATGCGTTACTTCACTTTCGGATTAGATGAGAATCCGAGTCATTTTTCTTACTTTCTATGCAGTGCGTCTCAGAGCTTGACGCACACATTCTTTCATGAAGAAGGTGTTAAAAAGTATTTGTGCTAAGCCAATACTTATGACCATTAAAGAGGATCGAAAATCGGAGACTTCAAGCTTAATTTAACACGGCGTTCAACTATTACATAGAAATTTGCTGCACAATCCAGCTGGATTTATTTTTAGTCTGATTTCATACAATGCTTTGACTAGTCTTTGATTCCTCCACGACACTAACCTGTAGTGTGCCTATCCAGCACATTTCAAAGAGCCCCTCAATTTTTTCTTCAATTCAGTGTCGTAATCAGATCTTCTGTGGTAGTCGAGGCGAAAAATTGTCATGAGAAAGTTAAATCAAGAAGTGAAAAGGTTTTCGTTTTGTCGATGACTCTTAAATGATTTAATTAAACACTCTTAAATGTTGGCCAAATATGGTCGATTATTTCTTGTTCATGATCATCAAACTACCAAATCCTATCCATTTCATTTTGGCTACTGTTTGTGTTTGCACAGCCATACAATTTCATTCTTTGGACTGGAAAGACCCGTTTGGATGCCAACAGGTCGCACATCCAAATCACATGGATTCCTGCGCTTCCAAAATCTAATGTCTGCGTTCCGTTGTTCCGGTACGAGTAGACGCCCACGCACTGTCTGGCTGCTCTGCCGTGACTCAGAGGCCACGGCGCACGATCACCGCAACCAGGCATTCCGTTACTAACCTTTGTTTAATCAACCGCAGCTTTGGCATCCATGCATACAAGGAACGCAATCACAACACTATTCCACGCATGCGCTACCATCGTTGCGCACAATCTTGATGAATAGTGACGGCGCCGATTCATACACGATTTCACGCTTACCACGCACTTCTCATGTCCGGAAAGCCAACGGTTTAACGAATGTTGTTTGAGTTGCGCGAATTTCGCATGTAGGACAGTTTAGGTTTATTGGAAGTGCTGTTAAGTCATCGAAGAAATGCCTTTCGGGGACTAACTTTAAGTATCAACATATCTGCACTCTTTGTAGATACCCTCAAGTACAATGCTTCAACGTCTTTTTTTGCAAAATTACACGAACATTTACTATCATTACTGCCATTATCACCACTATCATGCAGCAGAAATGTTTACACGACCTTTTCATTTCTCAACTAGTCGGTCGATTTCATAGGCTAAAAGCGGTGCTGTTAAGATCTTAGCAATAATTTATGACACGTTGTTGGTATAGTAGACTCTTATAGACAGTTGGCGCCACTTTTCATTTGTATTATTCCTCCTTCTCGCAAGCTCAAAAGGCTTTCTTTGAGGGGTGTCGCTATCGAATCCGTCTCTGTAGCTGCATGAGATCAAGCGCGATGGAAAATGGAATTTTCATTGCTTTATCGTGAAAGGCTTGTAGGAAGAAGTGGTTGCCCGCAAAGTCGACATTAATGTGGATTGCGCTAATCAGTGAAAATAGGCGCGCGGAGAACCTTACCTGCTTGCCATTCAAACAAGCCAACTTTATTGCAGAAATTCCCAGGTTCGGAGGTTTGTCAACGCAAATCTGCATTTCAAGTAGCTATGGACTTGTGGGAGAAACTAAAGCACATTTTGAACAATTGAACAAAGTGGTTTGAGTCCGGTTCTTGACGGTTTTGCTGGATAGGTTGTTAATTCGGCCCCATTATCCCAGCAAGTGGAGGTGTAGATTCAAAACCTTGAAACAGCCCAAATGCGCAGACAACTAACTGAAGGCTACGTTTCAGATCTTTCCCACCTGGCTCATAGCAATCGCAATCATAAAAGTTCCACCTTTATTTGCGAATATTTTTTTGCTTATAATGTATTTTAAGGATTAAAGAGTGCAAAGTGTTGAATTCTCATTGTATTGGTCACCTCTCAATGCAAATCAAGAGGAGGAGTACAAACTCGACCGTGTAAGATGACAGTGAAATGGTACAAGTCCACCTTGAGTGACTGTTCATAAAATTCCGCATTTGTTCGAACACTTTTTTGGCTTATTGAAACATAGCAGAGGTTTGTTGCAGGCCCATGTGGCATGGCTGGCGATTCTGTAAGAGGAGACGCAAAATGGCAATCAATGACTCAAACAAGGTCTTGACTCAACGGTTGAACTACTTCAATAGTAAATTTAAAGATGCAGTAGTGGTTGCTTCTTCAGCGGTAAATCCAGTCGCTTCGCATTTACTCACGGCTTAGGAACAAGTTAACTTTGTTTAAAACGCATTTTGTGAACGCCAAGAATGATTAGCTAAAAAGTCTCTATTTCAATAATCCCAAACCTTCCTACAGCACATGAGAAAATATCGAAAAAGCCTTGAAAATTGACCCATCCATTTGTTTAAAAATTTGAACAGCTATGAATAGATGGTTGCAGTCTCATGCCGATCATATAGGCTTCTAAGTTGGATTGCGAAAAGAAGGAAATGTAGCGGAGGAATGAGAAGGAAAAGTTTCATTGCAGTCGCTGGCTAAGCATTCCCGCACTCACACAATCACTAACGCAAACCACAAGCCACGTGGATAGCGTGGAGTCTAGTCACGCAGAGTCAACTCGCAAATTTCCTTTAAATGCTCCCTTAAAGTAACCAGCCTTCAGGCCTCTTCATACATTCAGCAATCGAAGCTGAACCTCGCAATATGCATATAAATTGTTAATCAAAAAGCCTTTCACGGTGATATGCTGCTTTGGCTGCCTTCTTTTATTCTTATATCCCTGGTGAGTCACGTTCCTGCTAACTGAATACGGAGGAAGTCGAGGCTTCATCCAAAGTCTGTTGGTCTAGTAAACACTCTCCACTAGTTAGCAAGATGGTAGAAATGTCTACACGAGCGTATGACACGCAACATTGTGGCACAATTCGGCACACACAATCCCGTTTGACGCATGCATGCATACCCCTTCATTACTTCTAATTCGTTAAGGAGAATAAGAGTGAGGAGTGAGCAATTCATTTGCAAAAAAACTGATTGTCAACACATGAAAGCAAAACAAAAAAAAATTATCTGCAGTAGAAAATGCAAGGCGTTCTCCTAGTTCTCCATTATATATCCTCTTTGTGTCCTGATGGATAACCTCGGATGAAGTCTGAGATCTCAGTGTCGCCTGAAGTATCACTACTTCCATCGTCACAATCTTCATCTTTATCCCCTGAGAGGATTGCAGGAAAGGCGGACCAAACTGATGTCAACTCTTTCGGTACAACTTCCGATATGTCGTCATCATATGTGGGTGGCAAATCTTCCCTTGCCAGGGACTTTCGGCAGCAACATATCCAGTTAAAATGACACATAGTTTTTTGGGTTCCAGTGGGAATAAAGCTGCTTGGTTGAACTGTCACTGGCATAGTGAGGGAGGCTACTAAACCAGTGCAAGCATGCAAGCGTATGCAATGAGAATGCATGTCGATGGCTGGGTCAGCCTTAAGTAAGCGGTGCACGCCTCCGCACTCGCACCCGCCAATCAGAGCGGAGAGTTGACGCATCAGTGTGCAGTGTTCGTGCATGTACATGAGAGAGCCTCGCTGAGCTGGTCACTCACGTTGAGGCCCAACGTGCTTGGACCGCACAGCTTGGCATCTTGACCATTTTAGAAGCAGCAATAACTACCTACATAGTTGTAATGTTTCCAAATCAGAGATAGTGATCTCAGACACTCCATACCTAATGCCCAATTATTCACTTTAATCTGCGGCTGTAGGCATTTTGGGAGACAATCAATCCCGGTGACGAGGATTTGGTGGCAATGTGGAGGATAGTCATATATGTGTTAACGAAATATTTTTTGGAATTGAATTTGAAGGACCTAGTTTGAACGAAATGCCCGGTCATGTGACTGCATCGAGAATTGGTAATTATACTGAAAAATCAGTATGTTTGTGAACCTTCTCTCATATCTTAGCGGTGAATGACGCTTAAATATGAAACAATGATAGTTGTAACTGACTTCTGAATGCTAAGTCGCTCCAACGATCCCCTACAATAGTCTTTAAGGATCGTGCTTGCCACAAGCTTGTCACGCATTTGACTTTGCAACGCAATTATTGTTTACTTGATGTGTGGCAAGACCCTTGAAAAGATGAATGTTTCTTCTTAGGCCACCAAAGTTATGACCCCTCTCATGTTAGTGATGACTGTTAACTTATGGTGAACCTGTAAACAGCTGGATGTGGTGTCGGATGCACCGAGAAAGCACTCCTGAAGAAGGGAAAGAGGAATTACGCATTACTTCTACGAGCAAATTCCTGACTCTGGATGGGATGATGGGCGTATTAAGCCTAGCAAACACTCAGTATTGCATGCAAGAAGTTTGGTTTGTGTGTTGCGAAAATCTAACCTTTGCCACACTTTGTGCACTTCCGCGTGCTTCTGGAGTGCCATTCTGGGAACAAACACTTGACGGTGGAATGCGTACTGTTCACTTCAGCTCACATTGGATGGTTTCCACTTTAGTCAAACAGTTTCCTCATAGGCTCTACGTTTTTCAGAAACACCTGCTTGGCCCCTGTGACTAAATGTGCAAAAAGCATGGTGCGTGTGCACAGAGCACAAATAAATATCATCTCACCAAGACACGTGGTTACGTGTTCAGACAAAGAACCCCGAAATGGATATGAGTTGACCGTATCAGCTCACGCTTCTCCTCTTGGTAAGTAATTATGTGTTTTGCTGAAGTGCACAACTTAAGCGTTGCATAAGCACAAAGTGCGGGGCATCACCGCGTACATGGCGGGGAACAGCAGCTACAGGTTCCATGTCACTTGTTTAATAAAAAATATTAAGAATTACTTAACAATAATTGTTATGTAAGTTTAAAAACTTCCAATGTAAAGGTGAAGTTTATAGCATATGATTAGCTCCACGGAAGATGTTGCTTGCTTACAATGAATTCGGCTAGGAGTCGCATCTGAGTGCTTTGGCTGTCTTCGGGGCGAATTCCTTCATTTGCTGGTTATGGTCTTTTAATGACAGATAGGCATCACTCTAAAATGTACGAAACGATGTTTAAGGAGGTCTTCGAAATAAAATAAAGAAGAAATTTCGGAGTCCTGAAATTTTTTACTTTATAGTAGACGAAAAAATTCTTGGCTGAAGTATAGACTTTTGACATGGCCTCAATGGCACCTTTTCCAGCAGAAGCACTATAGCCGCCACGCCTACAGCCAAGCGAGCAAACAAGCGTTGCATGCTTTTCGGTGGTCAAGAGGATGTTATGAAGTCAGTTTTGTATTTAATACCCAATAATGAACGTGCAAACTTTTTATTCGGCTGTGGGAAGTGATTTCAATCCAGACAAACGGTAAAACCGGTCCAAGTCCATGCATTCCAGGAATTCGCTGCAGCAAGAATGCTGAAGCGTCCAAATTGTGAACTTCGAGATGAATTAATGAGTAATTGGAGTTGGTTCAATTTGCATAATCCAAGAATATTTTAGTTCTACTGATCACAATGTCTCTTTCATTAATAAGTTTTACTAAAATGCGATTGATTTTACAAAACGGCGACCTGAATGAGAGCTGCGTTTGCTTATGCCATCCAGTCGCCAAGACAACGAAGGTCTAAGTTCCACACAAATGTCTAAGTGCGTCATCGAGGAGAAAATTTGGTGGTTTTTTGCTTTCTTCAAAAACTAATGCATAAATTTTACTTCCAGCATGTAAATGGGCTCTGAAATATAAATTAAGTCGCAATATTGCATAGTAGACAGCATCCAACAAGGGA